AGACTGAGAGAGAAAGGGAAAAAGAGCAGAGAGAAAGAGAAGAGACAGTGAAAAGGAGAAAGAGAGGAGAGAGGATGACACTAAGGAACACACAGAAAATCAATGATAACAAACGAGTGTGGAGACGGGTGAAAGTGAGCGCTGCAGAGAGGGTGACAGATTCTCCATAGAGGCGTCAGTCACAGCCAGCGGCCGCACTTACGCAATTAAACACACAGCCGGGCAGGAAGGAGGGCATATTGATCTCTCTCTCTCCTTCTCTCTTTCTCTCTCTCTCTCTCACTCTCTCACACACTCACTCTCTCTCTCACTGCCCCCCATTTACACCCATACAACTTCTATCACTCGCTACACCTGGTACACCCGGATTTGTAGATTACTCAGCACTGGGAGAAGTTCCACTAATAAAGAACTAAAAACGTCTCTAAAGGGGAACTCCACCCATTTTTAAAAATATCTGCATAATTGAATGGAAGTCATGTAGAGTGGTTTGGTGTGAAACGCTCCATTCTAGTGAAACATACAGAGTCAGAACTGTTCACAGTGGTGGTGATAGGAACCAGACGTCTGGAGAGTTTAATGCAGGGCTGCCCAAACTTTTTGTCACTTGGGGTTTCAAAAGTATGACGGTGTTTTAGGGCCACTATTAATAAAAATAAAAACAGTAGACTTCAAGCATAAAGTCATGATATTTCGTGAATAAAGTCGTAATATTTTGAGAAAAAAGTCATAGAATTATGACATTAAAGTGGCATTAATACCAGGAAAGATCGTAATGTTGTAGCCAAAGGAATTGCAAGGGGAAGGCGGCACCTCCTCCTGTTAAAATAAGGGGCATTTAGGAGGTGGTGGAGTTATACTATATAACTAGTACAGTAACAGTAATAGTGTACTAGCTATGAAAGTTTAGAAATTGTAGCCTCTACAGCCAAATAGTGCATCATTTATCGAGTCTGGATGTGTCTGAGTCCCAAATGACTGTTTCTTAGCTAGATTTTGCACTGTTGAGCTGCAGGACCCGGTATTTAAACTCCTATGTAGTGCACTATGTAGGGAGCAGAGAGCCATTTGAGACTCAGCCCCAGAGTGAGAAGAGGGCGCCGTAAGTTTGGTGCTATATAAGACCTGTGGTGGTAATTTGGTGACCAAAATACTTATAAAGCGTAGGTTTTTACAGTGATGTGTTATCATATGTTGTTTGTTACACAACAAAAAATGACTGCAACATACAGTGATGAGCGACTGAACGTTCTCTTCATTCAGCGGTTCATGGTTGCTTGGTTGCAGCATGTCATGTGCTTACTGTACTCTAAAGTTCACTACATTTCTTGGCGGAATACTTGTTCATATCGATTATTTTTATAATAAATTATTTTCTAAAAAATTGTGTATTTGATTGTATTTCATGTTGACTGCCATTTTATAAAAGCAACAAGTCACTTGAGGCTGTGCATTACTGTGAGTTTATCACAGGGAAGGGAGTTTTACTCTGCTTCGCATCGTGCCTAATAACACCCTTCCCCGTGATAAAATCGCACAGCAACTCGTGGCTTTCCGCTTTAATATAAATAAACTTTCACAGATTTGATAAAAAATCTTTAAATACTGCAATGAAAATAGAAGCTGAACAGTACAAAAATATAAACGGTCTCATCGAGGTTCTCTAGAATACAGCATTTCACATCAAACCGCACTGAATGACTGTTTTCATGCAGAAATTTTTAAAAATCTGTGGAATTGCCCTTTAACACGAACATGCAGGAACCCAACTTCTGACTGGGAGATGGGAGAGGGATGAAGGCAGGAGAGCACACATCCGCAGTGCTGGTGGCTGCAGGGCTGGTCTGCTGGGAGCTGATTGCACTGTGACTCATTACAGGGTGGCTGTGTGTAATGGAGTGTGACAGCAGCGAATAGCACTGCAACCCCGTCCTTCAGCCCTCAGCCAATTACAACCAGCTACACCCTCCCCCCCTTCTCTGCCCCCCCGTCTTCCTCCCTCTCTCAGCCTCCTCCACTCCATCCCTGCCACTCACTCCCTCTCTCGTCCCCTTCTTCCTCTGCTCTCTTCTGTCTCTCTCCTCTGCCTTCTCTCTTTCTCTACCACTCTCTCTGCTTCTCTCCCTCTCTATCTCTCTCGCCCCATTTTTTTTCTCTCAATTCCCCTCTGCTCTCTCTCTCCTCTCATATCTCATCCCCACTTTCTCTCGTCCTCTGTCCCCCCTGTGCTCTCTCTCTGTCCCCATTTTACTTTTTCATTCTCCTCTGTTCTCTCTCTCCTTTACCACGCTGTCTTCTTTACCTCTCTCACTCTTTCCATTTCTCTCTATTCCCTCTGCTCTTCTTTCTCTTACTCTCTCTGTACTCCTCTCTGCTTTCTCTCTTTATTCCCATATTCTCTCTTTCTGTTCTCTATCATTCTGTCTTCCCCTCTGATCTTTCTCCGTATACTTCTCACTCCACTCTTTCCTTTTTTCTCTCTCTCCCCATTTTACTTTCTCTCCACTCTCCTCGGTTCTCTCTTTGTTTCTCTCTTTCTCTCTGTCTTCTTTACCTCTCTCACTCTTTCCATTTCTCTCTATTCCCTCTGCTCTCTCTTCCTGTTTCTTGCTCTCACTGTATTCCTCTCGGCTTTCTCTATCTATTCCCATCTTCTCTCTCTCTCTCTCTCTCTCTCCCTCATTCTCTGTATTCCCCTCTGCTCTCTCTCTATACATTTATCTCACTCCACACTTTCCTTTTTCTCTCTATCCCCACTATTCTCTCTCTCTCTCTATTGTCCTCTGTTCTCTTTCTCTTTCTGTTTCTTTCTCTCACTACTACCCCGTTTTTCTCTCTCTGTATCCCCCTCTGCTCTCTCTATCTACATTCATCTCTTCTTTCTCTCTTCTTCTCTCTCTCCCCTCTGCTCTCTCTCAGCCCCTGTTTACTCCTGGTCACTGTGTGTCTAGTATCTGGATTGTATCCTGATGAGATTTTCCCCACATGCAATTATACTTGGTAGTCAAGTGCGTCTCCGGTTAGTCGGACTGAAATCCGACGGCTGTGTCGAACCGAATATGCAAATCCGCTCGTTACGTGGCAACTAGTTACCAACTGTTCATTAAGTCGTCTTCAGTTTGTTCTGCACAGTAGTTTCTGTTCATATTGCTTAGGCATTTCGTTTCATCCGGTCCCCAACAATGAGTGTCCCCCATGATCATCTTCCTCGCAGACATGGATCACACACCCAGTGACGTACTGCATAGTTAGGAGTTTTGGTTGTACTGGGAGGGGTTTCGCTTGTACTGGGAGGAGTTTCGGTTGTACTGGGAAAAGTTTGGTTGTACTGAGAGGGGTTTCGCTTGTACTGGGAGGAGTTTCGGTTGTACTGGGAGGAGTTTGGTTGTACTGAGAGGGGTTTCGGTTGTACTGGGAGGAGTTTGGTTGTACTGAGAGGGATTTCGGTTGGGCTGGGAGGGGTTTTGGTTGTACTGGAAGGAAATTCAGGTGTACTTGGATGAGTTTTGGTTGTACTGGAAGGAGTTTGGTTGTACTGTGAGGGGTTTTGGTTGTACTGGGAGGGGTTTTGTTTGTACTGGGAGGGGTTTTGTTTGTCAAATGTGTCTTGGAGAGACAGATGTGTTTACACTGCTATAACTATATAACTATATAAGTCCACCTTTCCTTCTTTCTCTCTCTCACTCTCTCTATCCCCTCTGCTTTCTCTCTGTCTTTCTGTGTATCCCCCTCTGCTCTATCTATCCCTATCTTTCTCTCTTCTCTTTCGTTTTCTATTCCCTTCTGCTCTTGCTCTTTCTCTGTACTCCTCTCTGCTCTCTCTTTATATATTTATCTCACTCCACTCTCTCCCCCCTTTTCTCTCCACCTCCACCATTCTCTCTCTACTCTTCTCTCACTACATCCCCTTCTGCTCGCTCTCTTTCCACCCCCTCTACTCTCTCTCATCCTCTATCCCCCTCCACTCCATCTCCCCCTCTACTCTCTCCCTCTCTCCTCCTTTCCCAGGCTTTTGTCTTATTTTTCTCCTCTGCATTTCTTTCTCTGTTTGTCCTTACCTCTCTCTCTACTTCCTTCTGTCCTCTTTTGCATTTTCCTCTGTTCTCATCTTTATAGCCCTCGTCCCTCGTCTGCTGTTATCTAGTCTAGAGAATGAGCAAGGTTGTCTGACCTTCTGTAACAGTGTTTTGAGGTCGACCAGGGTAACAGAGCTGCATGATATGGACAAAAAACTAGTACTGTGGTTATATTGCTACGTACCATGACTATAATATGCCTTAAAAACATTAAAGGGCCCATATCATGGAAAACTGAATTTTCCACAGAAATTAATAATAAGACTTTGTCCATATGTGGACACTGAGCAGCAAAAAAAGCCAGTTTTCAATTCACTGTTTTTCTGATGTCACAAAAACGAATGCATTTACTTATATTCTCCTATTCAGCCTTCGAGAATAATAATGTGACAATGAATTATGACTGTTGTTGGTTTATAAACCACACAATTAAGTGTTTCTAAAGGGAAAAAAAATTAAATGCAAGAAAAATGTAGAATATGTACCTTTTAAAACATACTGAATCAATAATGTGACGGTTAAACAGAGGACAGCATTAATTTGACCTAAATAATTTATTTTGTTGGGTTACATGAGTTTATCCATTCATCAAAAACTCCCAAAGAAACTCATCTGGAGCTCTGATTGGTCAGGATGCTCACAGCACACAGCAGAAACACTGTGATTGGTTAGAGGGCTCATTTGCATATTGCAACCTCCTGTGAAACCAGTATTGCAAAGACTAGTATCACAATATTGATTAACAAACAATACATTGTGCAGCTACTGGATGAGCTTCCACATCCCATACACACACACACACACACACACACACACACACTGCACACAGGCTCCACGTGTGTGTGTGATGTGTGTGATCATGAACAGCCTGTCACACTGAGTGAAGTGTTTGTGAAGAGTACAGAGAGGAAGGAAGAGCAGTACCTGTTTTGAACCAGCCGTCCTTGGTGAAGCTGTCCTCGGTCTCCTGAGGTTTGTTCCAGTACTTTTGAAACACAAACGGGCCACGAACCATCAGCTCCCCCTCCCTGCCCTCCAAACCAGGCTTCACCTGGAACATACACGCACGTCTGAGTTTATACCTTGTTAGGAGGTGTACAGATATAACATATACTATATATATATATAATTAACTATATATAACAACAATGTGCCCCATATGTATTTTATAAATGTAAGTACCTATAATAATATGTATGTACAATATGTTGTTGCAGTAAGAATAAAACCTTGTAACTCCAAATTGGAAACTTACAGGAGTAAAGTTGAAAGGTTGTAATGGAAAATAATCTGACAAGATATTTTAAGTAATTAAGTAATTTTGGACCTTTTCTGTTGGTCCGTTTAGGATGAAATTTTAAGACTTTGTAACTCGAGGGTAACTAGAGGTTTGAAATTAGGCAAAAAAGTTAAAAACAACACAAATGGAGATATAAGCTTTTTGTTCAACAGTGATGTGCAAATATATTTATAATAATAATAATAATAATAATAATAAATCATAATTTATTGCATATGTCGAATACATAACTATCTATCTATCCATCCATCCATCCATCCCTCCCTCCTATCTCCAAAAAGCTACCTTTATAGAACAGGGAATAATGTTCTTAACTTTCAATGGAAGTAAATGGATAGAGAATCCTGTGTCCTGATAGCAATGGTGCATATATATATATATATAAAGGACAGGTGTGGTCATTAGATTTATTTTAGATGTATTCTCAGGATGACCATGTCTTATATACACGCACAAAAAAAACACACACACACACACACACACACACAGTATCTATGAATATATATATGTCCCATATGCATTATATTCTATATATGTAAATATCTTTATGCAGTATGTCCCAAATGCCTAAAAATAATGTAACATAATATAACAATAATGTAACACTAATAATAACGTAATAATGTCCTATGAGTATTATATATACTCTAAGAAAACGTCTATCAAAACACACACTGTGTGTACACAGTGTGTAGTGTGAGGTCAGTGCAGTGGTAGTCTGGGGAGTTAATGATTTACCTGAGTCTCCTTGCTGTTGCCCTCGGCGATAGTAGTGCTGGTTGTGTTTGTCATGACAATACGCACTTCTACTCCAGGGAGCGGAGTGCCCACTGCACCTGAGCACACACACATTTCTCACAGCAATGTACTCTACTCTCTATAATATAAAACACATTCTGTTCCAACAGTATACATGATGTATAATAAACATATAAATGTTAATCAATTCATAAACAAAAATCAAAGACTTGAAATATTGAGTGAAACATTTTGAAATATCCTCTAGAGCAGGGGTCCGCAACATGGGGCTCCGGAAATTCATGCAGCTCTTTTACTGTCCTGTTGAGGCTCCAGAGCAGAATCAGATATTTAGGTAAAAATAAAATAATCCTCCTTTACAGTAAAATAAAGCTCTGCTGATCATTCAACACAGTTTTAACAGTAAATGGTCTTAAATACTGGAGTTAATGTAGAACTGCTAATTCACACTTTAACCCTGAAGGTTGGTGTGCCGACTGTTGGTCACCATAGCAACACAGACAATCTTCCATAGCTGGTAGCTAACGAAAGAGCAAAGAGAAAGATTTAAGACGAATGTCGATAATTTAGAGATGAATAGACTTATTTGCATTTATAATCACTCCAGCTGGTTTCCTGATACCTTTAATCTGCAACGAGAAACTGACAAACACTAAAAAGTCACGAAGCTGAAGTCAGTTTCTCATTCGCCAGCTTCTCGTTCGAATCTTCCTGTTCCAACTTAAATGGTGCAGCAGTTACATTCTGGCACCTCAGGCACCATTTAGGGTGGAACAGGAAAATTCGAACGAGAAGCTGGCGAATGAGAAGCGACTTCAGCCTTGTAAGAAGTCAAACGTTGAGGGACATTTCACAAGGAAACATTCCACTTCTGATGAAAGGTTTCCTGCTGGAGATGTGAGAAAAGCTATAGCTGAGCTAAAGCTTAAAGCAGAGTAAAGTAAGTCTGTGTTTTCGTTAATATTATATTTTTTAGCCTATACTAGTACATCAGCACATACTGAGACATATTTACAGCCAAGATGGTAAAATGGACATAAAATGTTGTGGCTCCCAAGGTGGTTTGATTTCTGCTGAAAGAACAAAATAGCTCATCTTAAAATTTGGGTTGCCGACCCCTGTACTAGTGTTTATGCCTATAGGAATTCAGATATGCACTGTACAAGCAAGCAATTAAATATATAACATGTAGAAAGTGTTTCCAAACTTATTATAAACCAATCACAGGTTTCAGTCCAGTAACTCTAGTCGAAACTAAGATGCTTTAATAAGCTATGAAAGAAAGTTTTGGTTGAAGACCGGTTTGGCAAACTCTCTCAAAATCTCCTAAAACTTTCTATAAGTCCATCTATTCTTAAATTCAGAGTTTTTCCTGCTTTTCTCTCCCTCTATTGTATTTCTCTCAAGTGATCCCTTGTTTCGGGGTTTACAGCTGAAGCTGCCTCACCCGCAGCCTCTCAGCTATGATGAGAAGATAAACTCCATCTCTCCCCTCCATCAAAAAACTCCAAAATCCTTTTATAGCCGAGCTAAAGCAATTTCCCCTCGCTCCTGCCCTCTGCTGAGCGGGACACATTCTGAAGCGTGTAACGTTTAAATGACAAGATTTCAGAGGGAGGAGCGACTCTACAGAGCAAGAACGAGGAAAGAATCAACACCAACGCACTGAACTCAGGACATATCCACTGCATGCAAATTCGCCGTCCGAAATGTTTATTTTCAACAGTGAGTAGCGAAAATTGTGCTAAGGATTGAGGGATAAAGCGAGGTGCAAATGTGACTCATGGTGCGACCATGTAAAGTTAATAACAGCGGCATCTGGGTACGCCTTTCTGTACGATCCAGACCTAACGAATACAGGGTGTCCCAAAAAATTGACCTCATTCCGTAGTCTAATAACAGCCAATTCTCCCTCAAATGATCTCAAATTTTAACAAAATGTGTAAAAACTAACCAAGTTTAATTGTTAATGTTTTTTTTTTCAGGTTGAAGAACGGCGTTCACTGGAAATGAAAAGGCATTTTGAGTGTTAGAATATGCTCAAACACAGTCAAACGAGAGTGCAGCGTGCATTTTCAAGAAATTTCAATAAAAACGCACCAACTGGAAAGCAGATTTGGACAAGACACAAAAAATTCAAAGAGGAAGGCTGTCTGTGCAGCGCGAAGGGATCTGGACGACCAGCAGTAACGGAAGATATTACATTTGTGAAGCTGTGAAATCGGGTATAAAATCTACATCCCTCTGAATTTCTTGATCAAATTTTGCCAAATAAATCTTGTTGTTCAACATGAAGCCTATTTAATTTCGTTTGCCTGGACATGTAGTTACTCAGATATTCACATCTCAAGTGATGCCAATTTTTTTTTGGACACCTTGTACAAAGAACACAAGTAAAAGTGATATGGCCAATGATTTAGCACAGTTTAGCTAATTTAGAGCGTTTAATATCTGCATTTACAGCTGAGTATGTTTTTTTATTTTTTTTTAACCCTTGTGTGATGTTGATGTGTTTGTTACTCAGTGGTCTGGTGGACCCACCGCATTATTAGTTTTTTTTTTTAAATCAGCCATAACAATTTATGTAAAAATACTAGATGTTTAAAATATCACAAGTGTCCAGTATAGGGTTCTCCTTTAGCAGCTGTAGCCAGTCAGCAGCCTGTCCATGTTGTCCACCCTCACACACACACACACACACACACACACACATATATATACAAACACACACACACACACACACACACACACACACACTAACAGCAGGCCGATGTGTAGGGGGTGTACAGTGTGAAGGCACTGAAAATGAGTTACTGTATATGTTCTTCACAGAAAATGAGCAAAGACCAAGAATCTGAGGTTAAAATAATTATATATTTTTTCTGTTGGTAAACACTGAAAATAGGTCCCACAGACCCCAACACCACAAAAGGGGTTAAACCATATTTGAGCAGGAATGCTTGTCCTTGGATGCCGTTATCCTTTGGACGTTCAAAAAAGCGATCTGCAATTGGACCTATCACGATCCAATATACTAAAATATGCTAATGAGAGAATATGCCAGGCACCAGCGACAGCCATAAAAGGCAGCATGAAGGCAGCACAAGAGCTGTGCAGTATCAGCCTCTAATCTTCTGGGAAGGCTTAACACTAGATACTGGAACATTGCTGTGAGGATTTGATTGAGCATTAGTGAGGTCAGGTACTGATGTTGGATGGTCAGTTCTGGATCACTCCAACTCATCCTAAAGGTACTGGATGGAGCTCCATCACTCCAGAAAACACAGTTCCACTGTTCCACAGACCAGTGCTGGGGGGCTTTATACCCCTCTAGCCCATGCTTGGCACCAAGCATGGTGACTTGAGGCTCAAGTGTGGCTGCTCCAGAGCGCCCTATTCTACTGGTCAGTGCTTTTCTATAGAGATTATATAAGCGGTGGAGGGAGTATAATGGGCTGTAGGCTGTTCCCATCCAGAAGGAAAAAAGCAGCGTAACAGCATTCTTGCTGCACATTAACAAGCCTCTCTGAGCTCATCTGAACCCTCATTAAAACCCACACGCCACATATACACACACACACACACACACAATCATGTTTTATTCAAAGCCCCTCACACACTACTGCAGTCAGCAGTGCCCAAGGGGTAAAAAGCTGCCCCCCTAATGCCCCTTAGCGTAAAGAAGAAGAACAAGAGGAAGGAAGGAGAGAGAATGAAGATAGTAGTGATGAATACACAAGTGGCAAAGAGAGAGAGAGCATTAGTGAGAGAGAGAGAGAGAGAGAGAGAGAGAGAGAGAGAGAGAGAGAGAGAGAGATCAGACCGTGACACGGTGGGAACATAAAATAAAGAAATGAAGTGACAACAGAGAAATTAGACCAGATTAGGATCTATAGATGAATGGATTAAGGCCTTAAACTACAGGATTACTGTTCAGTCATTCATCTTAAAGGGCCCATACCAAGAAAAAAACAATTGTTTCTCATTTTTTTTCTTTAAATGAAAGTGTTTGATTTACAATGTAAACACGTTTCGAAAACATACATACATATGTATAAATATACATATATATAGAGACATGTATATTTGTGATGTCACAAAAATCAACTATTAAAGAAATCCACCTACTTCAGTCTATGGCAGTTCACTGCCCACTCATGCTAAAATTATAAGCAGAGTTTCAGATTGAACTGCTTTTGGAATAAGGCACAGTACAAAGCAGCCAATCAAAACAGAGATCATTTACATAAATCAGTGACAAAAGCAGCCTGTTTAACCCCTTAAAATCCAAGGCTTATTTCACACTAAAGCTTATTATTCAGTAACTACAGGGACTTCAATGCAAACTGGTTGAGCTGTTTTTAAGGTATAGAACTGTGTAAAAACTTTGAGCCTGGTGATGAGCCCTGGCCACGTAAGGGGTTAAGTGATAAAGAGGGACAGGAAAATGGTCATATAGATAGAAATATAACTGTTTTTTGGGACATAACCTCACACAAACATTATAAGTGGACCACAGAGAAAAAATTAATTTAAGTAAAAGTGACATTTAAAGCATATTATTCAGTAACTAGTATAAACTAATGAAACTGCAGGTTCAGGAGTTATGAGAGTGAGGAACCTGAACACAGACATTTAGAATTTAAGAGGTTCATAATTCCATAATTAGCCAAATTTGCGATATTGGTCTTGATTAATTTGGATAGCCCCGATAGACTATCTATAGATACTCAATTTATTAACATACTATCTGTTAAATATCATCTACAGTGGGTTAAGATATCACCACAACATTATCAATCATTTCATTTTCAGTAAAAGTTTACCTTCTTTTCTTTTAGTCTTCCTTCTTTTCTGTTTTTGTCCATTTTATTTTTACCCAATTTTCCCCAATTCAGTCATAGCCTATTCCCACTCGTTAACTCCATTTTCTTCTATTGCTCAATGCTACCAGGCTGGGAGTGTGAAGGCTACACTCTTCAAAAAGACGGATCTTCAACGGTTCTTTAGTTAAGGCTAGAAGCCAAACAAAAAAAAAAAAATCAGATTTGGGCCACTTTTTCCTGCTGTGTGAACGAAACCTTAGCGTACAGAAAAAGTGCAGATGCAAACCTGTCAATCCAGACACGTAGATCAAATGTGAATGTAACTCTTTAAAGAACTGTGTCATTATGTAAGTACTATATAAAGATTATAAAGTAAATTGTCTGCATACCAAAAATGACTGTAAACTGTTCACACCCTAATTTCCGCACTTTCACAAATCCTAAAAGAAATTCCTAACAAAGGCAGCCTCAGTAGAGCTCAGAGGTTCACCTTTCTTTATCTGAGAGTGAAGAAACTCCTGAGCACTCCACCCTCGGCGGCGTAACTGATATAGATTTTCTTTAACCTATTTAAAACCGGGAAGACAGCGCGGCCTGAACGAACCGCTCGAGGATTAATTAGCTTCAGCTTTCAGTTTCCAGTCAGCGCCGCAGCACCATCGCCGCCAGCCCCGCGCGCCACATTGCCGCTTTGAAGCACACCCAAAAGAAACGCAAACAACAACAACAACAACAAAACCAGGCCGCAATGGATGCACTTAACGGCTTTGATAGCGACGAACGCAGAACAAGCGGAAGCAGACAGCTCAGGCTTCATCTACGTCACCATGGAGGCCTCCGGTATCCCATAAGCCTTTGGGACACGTCTCTGCTACAGCGGTTGTCATGTCTGTGCAAGAGTCAAGCGTTCTTCAGATCACAGGACTGTTTGTACGGCACCAAAAGACAACAGAGAGAAAGAGTCAGACAAAGAACTTCAAAACAGGAGCTTGACGCACGACAACGTATCAACATACAATTAATCCACGAGGAATTGCTGTTTTCTTCGTAGACTGTTTTTGGTTGTCAACTAAATGATATGGGGGACTGCATTTGAGGAAAGAGGAAAACTGAGGCCTGAACTGTCTGATAAAAGTGCCAAGTACGACTGCAACAATCAATTATTAAAGAATGTGATTAGATTAATTATGCCAGGAAAGCACGTCCACAGAATCTATAATATGAGTTCTATATTGTATAACCCGTATTATAGATAATATAGATTCATTTATATATAATGAATGCCGCTCTTTCCCAAAAATTTGCAGCTGACCAACGATTGGTCAGGAAAGTTGTCATCTACATACATTACTGTTCAATAGTTTGGAAGGTTTTCTATCATGTTAAATAATATTGTTGTTCTAACATGCTAATCCTGTACAATTTCATACATTTCAAATAATTAGAAACAAAAAGAATGATGAAAAGAGCCATTCAAGACTCCAAAACAACCAAGAAAGCTACATGGACACTAAATTTAACATCCGGAATGTCTTATACCACACTGTTAAAAATGAGAGGTCAGCTCAACTCAAAATAAAGTAACTGTTTACATGGCTTTTCTTGAGTTGACTCACCTTGAGGACACAAAAGTTCACACAACTCAAACTTCTTAGCTGAGTTCAAAGTTCTCTTAATTTTTCAGTTCTGCATCTCAGTTCGGTAAATAAAAATAAGCTTGTTTCTATGCTTAACCTCTCCACTAGCCAGGACTCTTTCCATCACAAAACCTCACACAAATATCGAGTGGACCACAGAGAAAATTCATCTAAGTAAAAATTACATTTAAAGTTTAAGTGACGTTTAAATTATATTATTCAGTAAGTAGTATAAACTAACGAAACTGCAGGTTCAGGAGTTATGAGAGTGAGGAACCTGAACACGGACGTTTAGAATTTAAGAGGTCTAAGAGTTCACAAATAGCAATTTTTTTCCATAATTAGCCAAATTTGCAATATTGGTCTTGATTAGTTTGGATAGCCCCGATAGACTATCTATAGATATTCAATTTATTAACAGACTATCTGTTAAATATCATCTACAGTGGGTTAAGATATCACCACAACATTATCAATCATTTCATTTTCAGTAAAAGTTTACCTTCTTTTCTTTTAGTCTTCCTTCTTTTCTGTTTTTGTCTATTTTATTTTTTTCCCCAATTCAGTCATAGCCTATTCCCAAAGTTCTCTTAATTTTTCAGTTCTGCATCTCAGTTCGGTAAATAAAAATAAGCTTGTTTTTATACTGAACTTCTCCACTAGCCAGGACTCTTTCCATCACACAATCCTGCTAGACATTTTTCCTCTTGGGTAACACTTACGGGTGGCTATGCCATCGCTGGGGCTCAAACTCACAACCTCCTGTTGGGGCGATGGCTTAGTCCACTGCACCACTCTAGAACACATGAAGCAGCTCAGATTTTGTGTCTACAAATGTTTAAAACTCTGAAGAAAATATTTGTTGTTTTAACTTTAAAGTGTGGCATCGTCTCATGTGGTGCAGCTATCTAATAATTCATCCCAACATCAGGAGGTTGTGAGATTGAATCCCAGCAATACCACAGCTGTCTATATCTGGAAACCCAAGAGGGAAATATGCCAGATGGGACTGTGTGATAGAAGGAGCGCCAGTTAGTGAGAAAACTGAGTAAAAAAATGCAGACCTAGAAACAGTAGCTGGGAGAACTTTTGACTCAACTAAGAAGTTTGAGTTGTGTGAACTCTGGTGTCCTCAAGATGAGTCAACTCAAGAAAAGCCATGTAAACAGTTACTATATGATTTTTAAGTTGAGCAGACTTTGAGCTCACTTTCTCATCTTCTCATTTTTTTTTACAGTGCACAAACAAATGGTGATCAAATCTTGAGGAAGGCGACTTGACCAAAAATACTGTAAATAGATGATTACAGTTTAGTGTTTACAGTATATAACAACTCAAAAAGTTTGAAATATTGAATAGAACAATCTAAAATGACCTCTAGAGTCCAGTTTATAAGATTTAGCTTATTCCATACATTGGAATAGCAGTACAGCTTGGTGACTTTAGCCACAAAAGGTACCAGAAACCCAAAAGTTGTGTTAAAGAAACCAGGAATGATTGTACTGCTTATTTAACCCTTTTATACAGTGGATAAAATTGTTAATTCTGTCTTTAATTCACTATTAAGTATGTAAGAAGTCATGATCTCTACATGCTGACATCACAGCTACTTTTAAATGAAAAGAAAATGACTTTTTGTCATGAACTACAATTCGGAACAAGTAAACAAATGCATAGGAATAAACTTCAGCCGTCAGTCACCTCTCATTGTTATTTAAATGAGACCTGAATTCCAGTCGGAATGTGTGTTTGCTCAAAAATGCATTAAAACACCAGCAGCCCGCCGAGGCTGAGACCTTCTCTTAGCACTAGGGCCCTGTGTGAAGAAACTACTGAGGAGCTCCTGACTGGTTAGGGGGGGTTTTGTAAAGTAATCAGTACCAGGGATGCGTGGTCCATTCAGTGGGTTGGACAGCGCCATTCCGATCTCAGTCATGCCGTAGCGCTCCAGCAGCACATGACCCGTGATCTCTCTCCAACGCTCCAGAACCGGCTGAGGAAGAGCCGCCGAACCGGACACCATCAGTCTAGACAGAGAATATCAAACAACTCAACTTTAGACACAACTAGCACAGAGTTCTGACACACAAGCTGAGTCTGGTCTACATTTCGCTGCTGTCAGAACAAAATCTCCAAATGGTAACTTTACAGGAGAAGGAAAAAACCTACTTTACTTTTAATGGAAGTCAATGGAACCAGAATTTTTTCCATGTCATTTTGGCCCGTTTGTTTCGGTCCATTCATCATGAAATTTACAAACAACGTAAAGAGCAACAGGCATTTTCAGATTGCGTCAAAAACTGAAAAATGACAAAAATGGAGATACGAGGTTTTGGTCCGACACCAGCGATTTGTTATTTAAGAACAGTTTACAGTTTACAGTGTATAGACAATAATAATTTTCTTTATATCATCACTTTCATAACACAACCTTGTCTCTCTAAAATGTTAACTTTATAGGAGAAGGAAACATTGTAACTTTAACGTTTTGAAATTTTTCTCCAAGTAATTTTGGATCATTTCTACTGATGCGTTCATCAAAGTTTTGATATGGTACAGAAGATAAAATGATAAAAAAAAGGTGTTTTCTTGAGTCAAAGCTCCAAAATTGGAAAAAATTAAGACGAGTTTGTCCACCACCCTCATACTTGTTCAATCCGTATCCTGAACATATCACAAGAGAAGCAGGGCTGAAGGAAGATGATTAAAATTGGAGCAAAAAAACATCAGTATGTGGAAGACATGACAGTCATAGTGGAAAACCAGTAAGATCAAAAACAAAATAAATGGAGAAATGTGATCTGTTTAAGTTTTACATTTCTGGCAACTCAGAGAAATTTGCCGTCGCCATTCAAATAGGATGTTTCAGACAATGTATGACAGTTGTATTAGCATTTGACTCAGTTTGGCTTGAAAGAGAAGAAATCATTAACATTTCATACAAAAACTGTTAAGTGCAGATGTAACAGGATACTGCAAAATGATGAGGCTAATTCGGTTTATTTTCAAAACAAAGAATAAACAAATTGCTTGAAGCCCAAATATACATGAAATATTGTTTCACACTTTCAAGGTTTTGTTTTGTTTTTTATTATTTTTTTCCCCCCTGTGTTACTGTTGGAGTGGCTCCAAAGACTCTTGTGCCCAGGGGCCTTGCAAGATCATGATCTATCCTTGGCTTCGGAGGATATCCTTAAATATGATGATGAAACATTTTTTGCTGGTCCTCATAACTTTGCATACATTAATTATACAGAATTTGTGCTTTTTGTTTCAGCCCTCAAAACTTGGCACTCAATTGATTTATAGAATGTGTTTTTTTGTCTAAGCACTGAAACATTTTGTTTTCTCTTAGTGGGAAAGAGTTTTATTTTGCTGCTGTATCACTGGAGTCAGCATCATACCTCACAGGCAGGGACGCAGAAAGTGGGGGTGCTGAGGGGTGAGGGCAGATTTAAGGGTTAGTCAACTGTAACTACTAAAAATAATAAAAAAAATCTAAACTTTAAACTAATTTGAATGTAGTAAAAACCTGAATCTGCTTGTTTTAGAGTGGCGTCTGTATTTTATTTTTATTCATTTATTAAAAACCTGCAGTGGCCTTTCACTTAATAATCTGACGCAGAAAATCTGATCTTGTCAGTAATCAGATAATGGGTTTACATGAGTCAGACAGTAATCTAATTTCTGCTATAAAACCAGCCAATAAACTCACAGAAGACGATGTGATGTAAACGTAATGTAAAACTCTAAACTATTTAAATCCTTCATTTCATGTTTGGTTTCAGCTTCGCTCCAAAAGTATTTTGCTTATTTCCGGTACCGCCGTATGTTTTCACACATTTGCAGACTGAGAAATCCGAAAGAAATCCGAATAAGAGTTCACATGCACTGAGAAATCTGCTTACTGAGCTAAAATCCAGATCTCTTTACCGGATTTCTAGACCTTACTCCGATCTAGGAAATAGGAATATTTTCATTCAACAAAATATGCCAAATATTGAATAAAAACCATTATATTCAGTTGTTGAGAGTCAGTTTTGTACCATCCTGGTTCTTTTTTCTCTGCTCCAACTGATCAGATGAAAAAATGCATATCATAACATTGTGTATTCTAAAAATTTCTTGAAGTATCGCAATATTATATTTTTGCCATATCGGACCAATCGCATCATATATACACTACTTAAATTTCAGCACCCCCAACTTAAAACACCCTGCCGCGTCCCTGCTCACAGTACAGCATAGCTGAGTTCCAAAAGCCGGGCTGTGGTCCAGGCAGGTTCCATCAGAAGGATCTTTCATACGCAGCTGAGAAACGCAGCCTGCATCCTGACAATGTTCTCTGTTTGAAAAGTCCAGTAAAATATACATTAACACACACGGTACACTATTTATTGGACAGTCCTGCTGAGGACCCGCCTTTCTCAGTGCAGCCTCGCTTTTGTAACGCAGCGCGTAAGATAGAGCTGGGAGAGCCGTGAGTACCGGATCCTCTCTTTACACACAGCCCTGATGAAGTCCTGCACGCGCGGCTGGGTGAAGTGCTGCTCGTAGTGCTGGATCAGTTTGGAGTAAACTGTAGGAACCGCCATGAATACGGTCACCATCGGAGCTTTAGAGCTCAGCAACCTCTCCCACACCTGAGAGAGAGAGAGAGAGAGAGAGAGAGAGGGCAGAGGGGGAGAGAGAGGGAGAAAGGAGAGAGTAGGAGAGAGAAGAGAAAGGAAATAAAGAGAAAAAGGGAGAGAGAGGGCAAGAGGGAAAGAGAGGGGGAGGGAGAGAAATAGGAAAAGATGAGAAAGAGAGAGAGGAAGAGAGAAATAGGAAGAGATGAGAGAGAGAGAAGGAGAGAAAGGGGGCAGATGGGGAGAGGGAGAGAGAAGGAGAAAGAGGAGATAAAAGAAATATAGAGAAAGAGAAAAGAAACGGAGAGAGAGAGAGAAGGAGAGAAAGGAAATAAAGAGAAAAAGGGAGAGAGAGGGTGAGAGGGAAAGAGAGGGGGAGGGAGAGAAACAGGAAAAGATGAGAAAGAGAGAGAGGAAGATAGAAAGGAAGAGAAATAGGGAGAGAGAGAGAGAGAGAAGGAGAGAGACAAGGAGAGAAAGGGGGCAGACGGGGAGAGGGAGAGAGAAGGAGAAAGGAGAGGAAGGAAATATAGAGAAAGAGAAATGAAAGGGCGAGAGAGGAAGAGATGAGAAAGAGAGAGAGAGAAGGAGAGAAAGGGGGCAGACGGGGAGAGGGAGAGAGAAGGAGAAAGGAGAGGAAGGAAATATAGAGAAAGAGAAATGAAAGGGTGAGAGAGGAAGAGATGAGAAAGAGAGAAAAAAGAAAAACAGAGAAACATGGTAACTGTTCTGTAACTGCACTGTGTGTCTGCGTCGGTGTCAGAGCTCGTCCTCTGAGGAGCGGCATTAAGACAGAAGTTCAGCTGCAGGTATTTTGTTAAAAAGCAGAGGAGACTGTAAAGGTCAGCACTGACCACAACACAACAGCATTATAACAGAGAAAAGAGAAGAGAGCCGCTAGTGAGGTCAGAGAGACGGGCAGCTCTCATGGCCTTTACTGGGCTTTTGATGAATGTGTTGTACGAGTGTGAGAAAAGGGCCGCAAAACACACACACACACACACACACACACACACACACACACACACACACACACACACACAAACAAACAGAGAGGTTACAGTGAATGAGAGAGAGAGAGAGAGAGAGAGAGAGAGAGAGAGCGCTACACAATATACTATCAGACACGGGTAGACATGTAAACATCTGCACTGGCCACCTGGGTCACCAAGGCAATGAATTTCGTAACCTATTTTAAGAATTTGAATAAAGAAAAACTTTATTAAAACAGGTTGTAATATCAGTATCTAATAGTGTGTTAATAATTAATTATCTAATAGTAATTTATAATGATTATGAATAACATCCTGTTTTAAATGTTTGAGTAGTTATTTATTATCTTTTGTAATGCACACTTTTCACTGATACTTAGTTAATCATCATCGTGGTGGTTAATGTATGCCTTTTTAAACAATAGAAAGTGTTGGCAGTAATGCTAACCAATCAGCACTCAATAGTAATAATGCTAAACAATCAGCACTCAGTAGCAGTAATGCTAACCAATCAGCACTCAGTAGCAGTAATGCCAACCAATCAGCTCTCAGTAGCAATAATGCTAACCAATCAGCACTCAGTAGCAGTAATGCCAACCAATCGGCTCTCAGTAGCAGTAATGCTAACCAATCGGCGCTCAGTAGCAGTAATGCTGACCAATCGGCGCTCAGTAGCAGTAATGCTAACCAATCAGCGCTCAGTTGCAGTAATGCCAACCAATCAGCTCTCAGTAGCAGTAATGCCAACCAATCAGCACTCAGCAGCAGTAACACTAACCAATCAGCTCTCAGTAGCAGTAATGCTAACCAATCAGCGCTCAGTAGCAGTAACGCCAACCAGTCAGCACTCAGCAGCAGTAACACTAACCAATCAGCTCTCAGTAGCAGTAATGCTAACCAATCAGCGCTCAGTAGCAGTAACGCCAACCAGTCAGCACTCAGCAGCAGTAAAGCCAACCAATCAGCTCTCAGAAGCAGCAATGCTAACCAATCAGGACACAGTTGCAGCAAAGTTAGCAACTTATTGCCCAAAAGCTGCTGTAGAATAATGGGAACATCCTGGTTTGTTGACTTTGTTTTAATGTAATACATCCTTCTAGTCTCCCAGATTAAATGACGGTCCCACAAAAATGGTTCGAAACACTCTCCGGAACCCTGCAGCGATCTGCAGTCATGTTTTTGACATAATGGGAGAAACAGACAGTGACCTGGCTCCCTGTAAACTGGCTCTGGTATAACCATAACTAACATGCGGTTTGGCACACTGGCCCAAAAAAGTGGATATTCTGGTCTTCTTGGCAAAAAAAAAAATCAGGCTATTTTATAGAAAATAATCTCAAATTATATCCCAAAAAAATGTCAGAATGAAGGAAACTGCGTAAAGGTTCGTTTTTTCCATACTGGGACAAACGTAAGGTGTGTCAATCGGCCCGGTTACTGCATCTGGAGTCAAACGGGCCTCAGTACATCAGGTCCAGTGTGCCTAAAATGCTACATCTTCGTATAATCGCAGATTCTGATAAAATAAATCAGCATAAATGTGCACATTATTATATCCTACAGCATGATCTGATAGAGGTGCACACAAATTCATACCCATATCTTGAAAATGATCTTTAAAAGAAAACAAACATCAACCACCCTGTAACTATGGTAACAGTTACCAACATACAATAACTGCAATAAACATTACAATACTGAGCTACTGTAACAATTAAAGTGCAGACATTGATTAGGAGGCGTGTGTAAACCTAATGACTCTCTCTCGCTGACTCTCCCTCTCTCCCTCTCTCAGAGAGAGCAGTCAGTCAGAGAGGCGGTCTCACGGCTGACTGCACCTCCACAACACTGAGGGAGAGAAAAGTGTGAATTAATTGAAGGTGAACGACAGATTCTCCTTCACTCCGTCCCCCCGGGAGACCCCCATCCACCCTGCTCATTCTCTCGCTCTCTCTTCTTGTTCTCTCTCTGTCGTCCTTCCTCTTGCTCTCGTTTTTTCCCCTCTTTCTTAATCTCTTTCTCTCTGCCACTCTCCTTTTCCTCTCTCTCTCCCTCCTCCTCTTCTCACTCTCTCGTTTCTTCTCCCCTCTCTTCTTGCTCTCTCTCTCTTTTATTATTTCCTGCTTCACTGCCTCTCTCCTCTTATCAGCCTCCCTCTGTCTCGCCCCCTCCACACACGGCTCTGTGTAAATGGAATAGGGTGCTGTATCACCAATATTTTCCCAAAATTTTAGTAGAATATATTCAGATATATTTTAAACAGATGATGATGACGTGTCTGAAGGGAGACATGTGGATGTGCACAAACCCTCACACGCTCACACAATTATGGCCTGTCACTCATTTCTCTTTCTCCTTCTTCTTCTCCCTCTCCCCCTGTCAGACTCCCTATTTCTCTCTCTCTCTCTCTCTCCTTTTCTCTCCCTCTCAGACACTCAATCTTTCTATCTGTCTTCTCCCAAGTTCAAGTTTGCTTTACTGACATGACAAACTTACATTTGTATTGCAACAGTTATCCATTATCAATTATCACGCAGGAAATCGTGTACTCTGCCCGGGAGATGGTTACTGGGACCTATCCCTGGAGCCAGGCCTGGGGGTAGTGTTCCTTGGCGAGCACCTGGTGGCCAGGCAGCACATGTGACCAGGCCAGGCCCAGCCCGAAAAGGCAACATGGGGGTACCGTGTGGGCCCACCACCCGCAAGGTCCAGCATGGGGGACCAGTGCAGTGCCGTGTAGGTGGTGGGAGATGGCGGGGAGGTCCTTGGCGGCATGGACCCCTGCGGCGGAAACTGGCTCTTGGTAATTGGAATGTAACCTCATTGGGGGGAAGGAGCCAGAGCTTGTGCGGGAGGTTGAGAGGTACCAGTGCCGGCTCTGGAACCAAACTCCTTGATAGGTGTTGGTCCCTCTCCTACTCAGGAGTTGCACAGGGTGAGAGGCGCTGGGCGGGTATGGGGATACTCACGAGTCCCCAGCTGGCTGTCGTGCAGTTGGAGTTTGTCCCGGTGGACTACAGCACCAAACAACAGTTCGGAGTATTTGGCCTTCTTGGAACGAGTGGGCGGGGTTCTGGAAAGGGCCTCGCCTACAGACTCCATAGTCATGCTCATGTTGGTAATGACTGGGAGACCTAGAGGGGATGATTGGGAAGAACGGCCTGCCCGATCTAAACTCCAATGGTGAATTGTTATTGGACTTGTTATTGGACCGTGCTGGGCATTGATCGTCCATAACAAACAGCAAGTTCGAACACAAAGACCGGGTCGTCTGGGATTCTCTGCTCCCCCAACTGCTACCGCGACCCTATCTGGATTAAGCAGTTAATGATGATGATGACAATCATCTATATAATAAAATAATAACTCCTCTCTCTTTCTTCTTCTCTCTCTGTCGCACTTTCGACCTATTTCCTCTCTTTCTTTCTTTTCTCTCTCTCTCTCTCTCTCACTCACTTTTCTCCATTTCTTTCTCTGTCAGACTCGTGTTCTATCACCTCTCCCCCCCTTTTCTCCTTTCCTCTCTCTCTGTCAGACCCTGTCTCTTTCTATCGCTCTTCTCTCTCAGGCTATCATCCCTCTCTCTCTCTCTGTCTTGCTACCTTTTCATATTTTCTTTATCTTCTTCTCATTCTTCTCCCTTACTCTTCTCTCTCTCTCTTTCTTCTCTCTGTCTCTTTCACTGTCTCTCTCGCTGTCTCTCTCTCTCTGTCTCGCTCACTTTTCTTATTTTCTTTATCTTCTTCTCATTCTTACTCTCTCTCTCTCACTCTCTCTCAGCATCTCCAGTAAGATATGAACATCCTTATTTCTTCCAATACTGTCTGGATTCTTGCTTCTCCACTATATATGTACAGTTGTCATTATAAACAGAGGCACATCATCTATTTCCGTTTCTAACCTTCTGTTATAAGGAGTCACTCAGATTTAGGGCTTTAGATACGAACTGTAGACGTTTCGGTGGATAAACTCTGATCAACTGAACACCTTAAGACCACTAACACCGTCTCCGCTCGGCCGCAGGCACCGTATAGATTTCATTCTCTGCCTAATCGTTAGAAAACTCCCCTTTTTTATCACACTTTTGATTATAGGCTCCTTTACTCAAGTGAAAATAAACCTATTCAGGCATCTCCGTATATTTTCCACTCCAACTGGAAACTAAAATTGCGTCACAATCGCTCAAACAGCTCAGCTCAGCATCTATTGATTTTCTGCTTCATTAAAAATTCCTGAACCCCGTGTTGTAAATAATAAAGCCAGAAAAGAAAAGACACTCTGATCTGTCTAAGAAACAAAATAACTTCTTTTCTTTTATCGCACAAGCATCCAAGGTCACATCAGTGGAGAAAATGTGCGTTTCGTGTCGCGGTTGTTGTTGTTTTTGTCTGGCGCTGTCCTCGCCAGCCCTTCGCTGTCAGTCAGCACCTTGACACCCATTAAAATCTCCAGGACCTTAAAGCGCCCCCCCGCTTTCTTCTCCCCCGCTGCGGACCCCCTCCTTTTACACAGCAGCGGTATCATTCTTCAACGTCAGTCCATCGATTGATCCGCTTCTGAGGCCCTTACCCGGAGCTGCCGTGGTCAGATACAAAGCCACACAAGGCAATCCATCACACACACTCGAACACTTAGCACGACAGTCGAGTCTCTCTCTCACACACACACACACACACGCACCCTCGGTCTGTCAGCTCCTGGACGCTGGTATTGACGCCCACAGCAGTGGCAGCACAGCGACGTGGCTACAATTAGCGCGGCTCTCTGACAACTACCCGATAAGGCTGAACACACACCACCTCCCACACACACCTCCACACGCCACACACACCTCCAGGGCTCGAGCGCTGTCCCACAGAGCCAGTCGGGCCGTCCCGGACCACCGGAGCCATAGTGTGGCTCACAATATGGACTAGCACTGCAATTATGTTGATACATACTGCAACCAATACATCCTGCACCGTATTAACCCATTCATGCCCAGTCAAAATGGCCATTAAGTACAAAACAGTGCCTGAAAATGTGCAGCAGTTTGTTCTCAGTTTCTGAGGGTTTCAGTCGTGTGTCATGTTTCTGTTGTGGCTGTCATATTTGGGACCGAATTTCTGGCTTTGTCCTCGTACTATTTTCAATTACATATATGGTTTAAATTATTTGCACATCATTGCATTTTGTTTTTATTTAAATTTTGCCCAGCATCCCAACTTTTCTGGCAATGGGGTTGTATTTCAAAAAATAAAAAGCTTATAATCTTCCATGAAAATGTAAATGAATTTTGATTACATTCCTGTGCATCTTTTTTTGGTTACGATTCAGAATTATGTGAACATGACTGGGGTGAAATACAGACAGTCAGAATGTTACAAAATTACTGCTACTGAACTGCCACTTTCAGGTCAACACACTTTCATATCCTGGGTAGTTACTGAGTAATAAGCCTTAAGATCAAGAACTGAATGATAAGCCTGGAGTATAAGAGACGATGGAACTTTCATGTTTTGTGTTGTTGGGTCGTGTCTGGCTGGACGTATTTTACCTTCTGAGCATTAAACTCGGGCAGCATGATGCAGGTGCCCCCCACCCACAGTGGGCACAGCAGCTTATTCACAATGCCGTGCACATGGTGAAGGGGCAGCGTGTGGAGGATCACATCGTCTCTGCTCCAGGCCCACTCGCTCACCAGACACTGGACCTGAAAGAGAGGGAAAAGAGAGAGGATTGGTGGTTAGTGCCACATAATATTCATATTCAGTATCATAATACTTTCCGAATTCATTATGCTATCAGATGTTAGCATCAGTAAAGCTAATGAACCCATGCTTCCTGTGTGCTGCCACTCTGTGCTTAAAGAATATCTTAAAACCTCACATAACCTTGTTTTATTGGACTTCTTTAATGTTTTCTACCCTTACAAACAAAGAAAGTTGGGACAGCAGGAAAACTGGAAATAAAAACAGACAGCATTGATCTGCAAATCCATTTTTTGACCTGTATTCAATTGAAAACACCACAAAGACGGGATATTTAATGGTTCAAGTAATTAACTTGATTGGTTTTTGCAAATCGTCACTGTCCAAAGTAAACATGTAACTCCATTTTTGTCGATTTAGATTTTTCTACATCATTTGAACATGGCAGATGTCCATGTAAAAATTTCCTGATTAATGGACCAATAGAAATGCTCCAGAAACACTTCGAATAAAATCTCTTTACATTTACTTCCCTTGAAAGTAAAGAATATTTTTGCCCTCTCCTGTAAAGTTAGCATTTTAAAGATACTTGTTTTGCTTTGGACAGCAATGATATAAGCTCCCCGAACAAAAAATTAGCCACCACCTTAAACACGCAAGGTGACAAATTTGTTGTCCGGGGAGCTTATATATGAATAAAATCACTTTGCTTCCAGGCAAGAATTGCTTCTAGAAGTCACTGGAGGTTCTTCGTAACCAATTTCTGAAAGAACACTCCACAGGGAAGCGATTTGTATTCACAAGCCGCGAAACACGCCGGCGGTCCCTGTCCATCAGTTTCGTCTTTCGCCCACAGTTCTGACAGGAATTTTCTGTAGACTTGGATTTCTGCCACGGCTGGTCGACCCGTATGACCATACACTTCTAAGCACCTGCAAATTCAGCTACTTCAGACTGTGGCCTTTTTGCCAATTATTATCATCTGCTTTGTGACCCACTTTCTATACGAGACATTCACTGCACTGTACCACCTTTTCTCAATCTATGAATCCCGTCTCACACCCTTAAACAGGCAAGGTGACTCACTTCTTTGTCCGGGGAGCTTATATGCTTACTCTAAATGCTTGCAACCTGTTCCAAAAAAGTTGGGACAGGGGCCTGTTTACCCCTGTGTTACAGCACCTTTCCTTTTAACGGCATTTTTGAGAGCTTGTTTGGGAACTGAGGACACCAACCTGTCGCAGCTTGAAAATGAATCTTTCCCAATTCTTGCTTGATATAACACTTCAGCTGCTCAACAGTCTGGGGTTGCATTACATTGCGCTCAATAATGCACCTCATGTTTTCAGTAGGAGACAGGTCTGGACTGCAGACAGGCCAGTCTATTAACTGCACTCTCCTACGAAGACACACTGTTGTAACACATGTAGAATGTGGCTTGGCATTAACTTACTGAAACAAACTGGGACGTCAATGAAAAAGATGTCATCTAGAAGGCAGCATATTGTTGCTGTCGGGACAAAACTTCCCTTTTTCATTTTTGGACATTTGAAAAGGCCACAAACGGTCCAAATGGTCCACAACTATTTAGGAAAAATGATTTGTCTATTTACTTCCTTTAAAAGTTCAGAACATTTTTCCTCATCTGTAAAATGACCAAGGTCTTGTTCCGACAGGAGTGATATGTTGCTCCAAAATGCAAATGTACCCCTCAGCATTAACGATAACAATGTGGGTGGTCCTTTTTCCCTCTGACGCGACATCCGTTACTTCCAAAACCAATGTGAAAGGTGGACGAGAGCACATGTTTGTGTCAGTCCATCTCTGATACATGACTTTGCGCAGTAGAGTCTTGTAGACGCAGCGACGAACTGTGTTTACTGACAAGCATTTTCTGAAGGCCATGTGGTGCTATTCATTATAGAAGCATGTGGGTGTTTAACACAGCACTGTCTGAAGGGGTCAAAGGTCATGGGCATGCAATATTGGTTTTCAAAGATTCCTCAGGATTCCCTGAATCTTTTAATCACGTCATGGTTATACTGTAGCTGGTGAAATCTAACTGTGCACTGAGAAACAATTTTCTTGAACTGTCAGACTGTTCACTCACACACTTTTTTGCAAAGCGGCAACTGAGCCTTTTGTGAATGTTCCTTTTATATGTAATCATAATAGTTCAACAATCTCAGCCTGATAGGATAAGTCACACTACATATGCAAATGTTTGGGTGTCCTGGTCAAATTCCATGTTTTGTTGATTATCTAAGTGACAACAAGTAAACACATCCTCTACAAATTGAATGCATAATTACTGCTAATTTTCTGTATTTAACATATTGGGGAAAAAATAAAACATAACCTGTGCAAAAGCAACGGCGCATCTGATATTGTTTTTTTGATATGTTTTATTTTTTCCAATTTGCTAAAATCAGCAAATAAATAGAAATTGTACACTAAAATTTGCAGAAAAATGTCATATTTAAGTGTGGTCTCTGTAGAGGATGTGGTAACTTATTTTCACTTAGAAAACTCAACAAAGCTTGTTATTTGACCAGGGTGTTCAAACTTTTGACTGTAGAGGTCAGATTCATAACTTACTAAAACCATCCAAACAAGCTTTTATATGATGAAATCTAAAATATAATACTGACAAATATACTGCTGACATCAGGAGAAAACCTTGTATCTCCATTTTCGTTGTTTTTCAGTTTTTGAAAATATAATCTACAAGAGGTCTGGTTCCATTGAAGGGTTAAATACTTTGACCTGAGGTTCTTTAATGTGTCTAATGACAGTCTAGGTCAACTCATGAAAGTCAGCATGTCAGTGTGAATGTGTGCTGCATGATCCAGAATCAGAGCTGCAGCATTTATTAACTGCTAGTGAACGGTTTCATTCAGCGTGGCCACGTAAAAACCATTAAACCTGTAATAAGAGGAAAAACTAATGCTGAATGTGGGTTAGTGTGCGTAGACCACAAGCCTGCCATGCCCCGCACATTCACCACGTGTTCCTGGGCTGATGATTGATGGAGAGGCAGTGATAGCGGTCAGGCAGCTGAATCAGGTCAGGTTCATGATTAAAGTGGGCCTGGCCTGAAGGATGGCCTCGAAACCCCTCAGTAATCCCGCTCTACACAGAAGAAAATGCCATTATGTATATTTAACCAATAACAGAAATTCAAAACACCATATTAAATTTACAGTCAGTACACATTGGAACAGACTTCTGTTTGCGTAAAAGGCACTGACCTGCACTGCCCATCACAAGTTTGGGGACACTTTGCCTCCTAAAATTGAACTACTGTTTGTTTATCACTCTTACTTTTCAATTAAGCTCAGAAAAAAAATACCTAGATTAGTTAGCATCAAGCTTCTATATGCAAATGCTCTGAGTACATTTAGCTTCAACACTCAGTTAAGGGTCTTCTTTGATAGTAAGAGCAGGTTTTAAATAATGGTTCGACTGAACTGTTGTTAAAAGCACAAATTTGAACAGCTGAATGGTTTAAGTGTTGATGAGTGCTGACATCAAAACGAGGGGATACAATGTGTGGCTTTATTCTCAAGGTGGCGCCATCACAAGTAACCTGATACCTGACCTGTAAGTGTCTAAGGATACCGATACTAACTTAATCTAAGCTAACTAGCCTTCAAATCATGATTTTTACACAATTTCACTTTTTTAGAACCAAAAAGGGGTCTACTATGGATATGTCAAGCCTGTTACAACACAAGAACCCTTTTTGGTGCTATATAGAACCCTTTTCCATCAATCTGAAGAACCATTTCACGAAAGAAACCTTTAATCATGCAAAGGGTTCTTTGAGTGTTAATGTTTCTATATAGAACCATTTTCACTACTAAAGAACCCTTGAAGAACCATCTTTAAGTATGCAGACACTGAATTGTGTTAAAACTAACACAAGTGTTACACTCTTTAGTGTTAAATTAACACTGTGAGCCTTAAATGTAACACTTCCTCAGTGTTTTTACAGCTAAAATTGTGCACTGTTTATACACACTAGTGTTAATTTTATTATTGTTATTACTTAAACCTGCTCACTTCTACTGCATATAGCACTTGTGCTTGGTGGCTAGTGCTGAGAAGCCCTGAGTGCCACAATATTGTGACATTCAATCAGTTCTGAGATGGATAATCACACTTAGGATATCTTAGAAGTAGTTAAATGTACTTACACAGACTTTATAAAGCTCGCAGACCAGGCAATGAGCAAATGTCAAATTCAAAATAACATTAATGTAAGCTACCTGTAAGCTAAAAATTAGTCACATTGCATGTGTAAGGTGGTAGTAACTTCAGGCTCCTGCAGATGGCGCTGCACGAGGATGATCGGGCTATAAATACCTGTGGGGTGTGCAACTGGATTCATAGATTGAGAAAAGGTGGTACAGTGCAGTGAATGTCTCATTCAATGTGTGGAAAATGGGTCTCACAGCAGATGTTAATGATTGGCAAAAGGAGTGATTGCATTTGGGCGACCAAAGACCACAGTGTGAAGGAAGTAGCTGAATTTGCAGGTGTATCGATGCATACAGTCATACGGGTCGACCAGCAGTGGCAGAAATCCCATGCTGCAGGAAATTCTCGTCAGAATTGTGGCCGAAAGACGAAACTGACGGACAGGGGCCGCTGGCATATTTCACGGCTTGTGAATAAAAACTGCATTGCTTCTAGGAAAAAACTGCTTCTAGAAGTCGATGCAGGTTCTTCACAACCAATTTCTGAAAGAACTCTCCATAGTGAACTGCATACCATGAACATATGGAGTGGAGTGGCACGCAAGAGGCCTTTGCTCACTTCTGCTCACAGAGTTGCCTGGTTACAGTGGGTGAACAGACACAGAAACTGGACTGTTCATAACTGGAATCGTGTTATCTGGTCAGATGAATCTCGTTTCTGCCTGTGTGTGCATGATGCTCAGCGTCATGTTCATCGTAGCCCTCAAAAAGCCTTCAATGAGGACTGCGTGCAAGGTGTGGTTCAAGCTGGAGGAGCTCTGTGATGTTCTGGGGGCATTTTAATTACGCAGAAATGGGTCCTTGAGTTGCGACAGTAAATTTGAACCACAGTGCCAACATCGAGCTGCTGGACAACCAGGTTTAGCCTTTTGCTCATCATCTTACGGAGGAACAAAACATTCCTATTCCTGTATTCCAAGATGGCAATTCTTGCATTCACAGGACTGCAAATGTGACTGATGGTCATGATGAACATTCAGGAGCGTTCACACATCTGGACCGGCCTGCAAAATCCCCTTGAAAATCTGTGGGACTCTACCTGGAACAACGAGGAAGACGCCCGGGAAGGCATCCATGAAATCTGGCCGAACTGCACAATTCTTTGACGCAAGAGTGGCTGAACGTTGATGTCACCTACATCCACAAACTGTCCGAATCGAATCGTAGCTGTTATTGGTGCTTGTGGAGGTATTACACACTATTAGGTCTGACTTTTTGTCTGGTGAGCTTATGTGGTTAACTGTAACACAAACTATCTCCATGGTTGGGATAACAAAAGGTAAAACATATTCAAAGGCAATCATTAGAAAAAATAACAATATAACAAAAAGAAATAAATGCTAATTAAGAAAAACGAACAAAACTGCAAGAAACGCAGGGAAGCTCTGCTTACAGTGCTACAGTATGGTGAACTTCAACCTTTACCTTCAAGTTTAATCAGTTCCTTGCAAGAGTGAGGCGCTCACACTCCTGTAAGACACCAGCCTCTGTGTTTTATTGGCACTCTGGGTGTAAAAACAGCCTCTAGAATCAACTCTGGACAGTCAAAACAGTGAAATTTGCTGTGTGTGTTCTTTCCAAACAAAGGGAACATTTTGAAAAGCTGGATGTCCACAAACGTTTGGCAGATAGCTGGACTGACCAGTTCCAGCTAGTCTAAAACTCCACCTTTGTAAAACCTTCCTTAAACGTCTGTCAACCTCAAACTGACCCGTTTTAATTCTCCTAAAAAACACTGTACCTTTTCTGCCAAATATGACTACAAACTAAAACTCTAACTTCTCCATATCCAATAAAAAAGCAGCAGCCTCTCACTTCCTATCAGCTCATAAAAAGGAAATTGACCAGGCAGGTGGTGGTAAAGGTGAAGGACATACACGCAGACCATTCCTGCATTATGGCAACACAGTGGCCCCCTGCCCGGTCAAAGAGAGCTCCTCCTTAATTGAGAGCGAGCTGGTTTTCCACTCTATTGGACATGCAGGTCAATTTTGGTTGAAAATTTACTAAATGAGCATCTCGCAGTGCCTGGATTGTCCCGCGTAACGAAATAATTTGGGCGGTTATTCGGAGAGCTCGTGTGGAACAAAGGAAAAAGGAGTCAAAGCTGTGAGCTCCATCAGCAGAGGGGAAACATGACTTCCCTCAAAGCTATCAGCCGACAGGCTGTATTTCTAATCAGACTGCTCCTATCAGTCTCTTTAAAACAAAGGTGACTTGGAAGTGGTGTTGGCTGCAATATCATTCATAATCCTGCATTAAGGACTATTTAAGTTCATTATTCATCATAGATGTTGAACTGCCTGTTTATAAGAATGTAAAAAGTCCTAAAGCAACCGTATGAGCTTTCTATGAGCACGTTTGTAACTAAATTCAGCATGTCTGTTCTCAGTGTGTTACACATCAATCTTTGAGTTTAGGTGAACTCAAATTCAACTCAATTCAACTCGTCCAAAAATTGAAAAAATAAATGAAATTCTTTTTTTCTTAATTTTTGAGGCATTGATTTAGAACTAATAAGACCAAATAAGGTTAAGTACAATAAAATATAATGGTTTACTGGAGAGACAGACATCCATTACTATGATATGGTCACTCAAAGGGGAATTCCACCCATTTTTAAAATGTACACATAATTTAATCACTGAGATGTAAACAGAGTCATTCAGAGTGGTTTGGTGTGAAATGGTTGATTGTAGAGACTCAGATTTCTTTACAGTGGTGGTGATAGGAACCAGGGGTCGCCATGACTACAACACAAATATAGACATTTTATTTACTATCCAAAACCACCAGTGAACCTACACGAGTCTTCTAAGTTTTATATGTAATGTTGCCTCACAACACCCTGCATGTACCCCTCCACCATGAATGGATTTTAAAAACAGGTTTTAGGCCAAAAATTTCTCAAAGCTATCGTTAAATCTAATGTCATGCAACATTTTACAGGGAGCTCTTAGACTCACTGGGCCTCATTCTCCAATATCATCCTAAGTTTCTTCTTAAACGTGTTTGTGAAAAACGTCCTAAGAAAAAGTCTACGTCAGATTCATGACGTGTTCTTAAAGCATAGAACTGTTCACACCTTTGTGCTCTTGAGTGTGTGTCGATTCTGTTCTTACCTAAGAACACACCCCAAACATGAACATCAGAATCTTCGTAAAAAAACTGCGTAAGTGGGGTTTAAGAAGAAATTTCTTCTTAAGAACGGTTGGTGTACGAGGCGCATTAATCTCTTCAGATATCTGATTCCTTTCAGCACTGCTACCCTTAAGTTTCTCCAGAACGGAGCATTTCACATCCAACAACATCGAATAACTGTTGACATCTTACTGAGTGGTTTTTACAGAAATTCTGATTGAAAATTGGTGAAATTCCCTTTTAACAGCTGAATATTATTTCGGACCAATGACAGACATTTCTGAGCAATGTCTTGGGCTTGTTATTTACCATAGCCTGCAGGCTGCTGTGTGTGTGGAGAACTCCTTTTGGTCGTCCTGTTGTGCCACTGGTGTAGACAAGCATGGCTGGCCTTTCTGCCCAATCAGAGAGGGCTTCGCTGGACTGCGTTGGTGACTCCACTGCCTGTAAGCTGTCCAGGCTGGATGTAGGAGGAAGCTTGAGGCAGGGCAGCCCCAGTTTTTGGGCCAGAGGCTCCAGGGTGTCGGCGTGAGGCTGTCCCACCAGCAGCAGTGAGCTTTCAGAGTCGGATATGATGTACTCCAGCTCAGCCGGGGGGTGTTTCCTGTATAGGGGCACAGCTATGCCCCCGCACATCCACGCCGCCCACTGGGCCACTGTGTATGATGCATCGTTGGCACACAAGAATGATATACGCCTGCCCTGCACGTCCCCAGACTGACAGGCAAGCGCTTGGCTAATGTGTCCTGCTAAACTTCTACTGCTGTTGTATAGGGAGCTGTAGCTGTGGCGTCCACTGTGGTCTATAACGGCCACCTTTTCTCCGTACGCTACGGCTCTGGAAAACACAGGAGTAACCTTGTCTCCTGCTTTGAGAACAGAAGACGTTATGGCTCTTCGAACTACATTTCCCAGCAGCCACTTTAGGGAGCGTCTACCAGCTTTGCAGTGTACACAACTCCACGACGATCTCCACGCAGTAGACACATAGACATACTGCATGATGGGTGATCAAGGACCTCTATGACAGCAACGATCCAGAGACCATCTTCAACTGTATCCATAACCGAAGAGGATAAACAAGGGATACAAAAAATGTGTTAATACCAGAAGCACTTAAAGCAATACGGTACTAATAATATGGTTCTAATAGAGAATACTTCAAGCTTTTCTTCAAAAAATATTAAAGTTTTCAAACTGTTTTAAAGGATTTTGGTGTTTCTTGTGCTGTACAATAACACTTCCATCCCAAAACTGAATGCTGAATGTGCTATGTGAGCCTACACTTTCAAAAAAAGGTACTCTTTAAGTAAATGTTAGTCCCATCACAATGAAAATGGGTTACTAAAGCTTCAACATGGTCCTTAAGGTCCAACTGTGTACCCTAAATTAGTTTTAATGGTGTACACTACATTCACTTTCCCACAATATAGGTGCACACAAATACATAATACACAATATTTGAAGAAGACTTTTACACATTATGTGACAATATTTATTTTTCTGACAGCTGATAAGTTAGAACAGACAAAGACTATCAAAATAAATTATGAATCCAATTATTTGTATTCAACATTTCACACACTGTGCTGCACTAAAACCAAATAGGACTAATTTTACTCTCTTTTCATCAAAACATGCAATTGAGAAGTGATTTTTTTAGTATTGAAGTTATCCACAATATGCTCAGAAAAGCATGTTGTCACATACTGCGACGGAATTTATCACAATAACAGTAAATATGGTCATAATGCCCAGCTAGAGTTTACTACAAGAAGAAAAATGAGAGGTCTTACTAATATTTTCACCTCGTATAATGTTCCTGTAGTTTTGTCTTATAGTATAAATAATGTTTATCTTGTACACTGTAGTTAAAAACAGTGACTGTGTGAATTCACTGTTTTATTCTTGTAGGAATCCTGTAGAAACTCCAGCTGTTTGACTACAGATAGATACACAGATCTTATTCATTATCAGACTTTCTGCAAGTAGAAATCGACCGAATTGTTCGGTAATGTGTTTATAATCATGCTTAAACTAAATGATGCCGATGTCAGTAATTTAAATGATAATTTAGCGTATTTATAACCTGATCAATGATGAACAGCGAGAGCAGCACGAGGCCGAATCGGAGTAACACAGCTAACGCAGCTAACACTGCACTGACCGCTCAGCGGATAAACATTCACTTCCCACCACATTCCGGTCATCTACGAAAATAATGAGCGCATGTTTTATGCTTCGAAATTACAGACGATATATTAACAAACAAAACTCAGCCGAAACCGAAGCGCGTAAACAAAAAAAATCAGCGTCTTACCTAAAAGTCACTCTTGAGGCACTACGGCGCTTTATAGTTCCGGGTGGAAACCAAAACTAGGCAGAACGTTCCAGTCAGTCCTCTGTGACTACTCTATTGTTTACAACGGCGCAGGAAAAGTAGTGAGACATTTTCTGCATGGCAAACATTAACATCACGGGTATGCGCTGTAAATTTGATCTGTGAACGGCACATTAGTGGCATATTTGTGTCTAGTCTGTCAATAAGAAATCCAGTTGATTATAAAAATAACAGCCAAATATTTGTGCTATTCAGGTAACTATTTAGACCGATGACAACTATGACAGTACTGGGCCTTCAGATCTTCCACCCTGCAGAGTTTAGCTCAAACCCTAATCTAACACCTTATCCAGGGAATGAAGGCTTTCAGAAGCCTCTGAGTGTTACAGCCAGGTGTGTTGGATCTGAACTCATCAGAGTGGTTGATCTCCAGGACCAGGATTGGGCCTATGCCATTGGTTCAGGCCTATCTGATTGGTTTATAACAGTGTTATTCATTAAGGGATGTGCTGTGGTGTGTTTTAATCTTGCAGACTTGCCCTTGCAGCTGCCTTGCCCTTATATATTCACATAACTAGCAGCATAGGTAAATAAACAAACATTTGGAGTAGTAAACAGTATAAGCTGAAACTGAAGTTTAATGGATAAAAGGCTTTGGACTAAAATATGGATTCTAAAATCTGACTTTACCTTCTCTCTGCCATGTAGCAATGCGGCCTTGTTTGTAAGTAACAATGGCAAGAAAAGACAGACGTACACGCGGACAGACGGCGCAGTCAAATTGGTGGCGTGACACCTGAACATGTGTTGTGCCATTAAGCTGTTGTTAGCCAGTCTCGGCGCGAGCCTACTGGTTTTGGCATCGGCTCACAGCACGGGCACACTCAGCCACCAGCTGGCAGTCGCGGGCCTCAGATAAGGACTGCTCAGAGATGGCACTCGTTCAAAAAGTTTTCACTTCCCTAAACCCCTCCGCCGCAAACGAGGATGGCATGTTCCTGCAAACTGGAAGCTTTGTCTCAGAATCTCCCCTCCAGTTTGAGGAGTAGTATCGTCAGCGTCGCACAAAGAAGGTGCTGGGAGAGAGGATGCCCTCCAGAAGATGAGAAAAGCTCAGTAGGATGTTGTTTTTGCTGCCCATTTAAGGTTTTTAAGCTTGACCCAAACCATATACGGTCTGAGATTTTTTTGTGGACCGCTTTGGAAGATGACCATGGCTAGCGTTTTCGGTTTCAAGGTTCGGCCATGTTCTTGGCACCAGCCTCAAGGAAATACAATAAGGAATACAACGAGGAACGCGGATCGGGAGCAGCCGCAGGGCTGAAGGATATCCAGCCGAGCGGCGATCACCCCAGTGCGCTTCCGCAGAGACCGCGGGGCTCCAAGCCAGGACACTCTTTCTGGACGGCCCCGCGTTGGCAGGTAAAGCGTCCGGCAGCGGGCGCCAACTTTCTGTTTGTTTGGCGCAGGATTCTGAGGGAAAACATCAAACCAGAGAGAGAGGCTCCTCTTTTCGGGATGCTAGCAGAGTGAGCTGGGAACGGAAATCAAGGGGAGTGCCAAAACGCATCGGGTTGGCACCAGATGAGAACGTCTTGGCAAGCTTCTCATCCCCTCCCCCCCCTTGCCCCGCTCGAAACACATGGCACGGCGGCGGCGGCATCTGGCCGAGCTGACTCCCGGCAGCTGCGCATTGTCTTCACCAGTTGGGATGCTTGGCACAGCCACTTCATCAACTACCTGTGGCTCCTCCCGGGTGCAGAGGGGGCGATGAATTATTTGGCACTGCAGCTGCAAACTTGACTTCTTTCCAAGAGATACAGCAGCGTAAACACACCCCTGCACATTCTCATACACATACACCGAACAGGAGGGAGACGGTGCCACATCTGGACCCGTTTGACGTGGTGTTATCTCTGGAATTAGGCAACTTTCGGGATCAAACGTGCAAGATCCTTCAGCTGGGGCGCTGATTTGCAAATGTAATGAGTTCCCAATACTTTCTAAACCTCCGGTGGAAGAATGGGAATAATCTCCTCAGTTTTAGAAGTTGTCGCCAACCTTAGATTTCTGGAGATCATCTTAGGCCCTCTTGACTCCACATCCCTGAAATTGTTCCATCGTTTTTATCTTCTGGTTAAACCCAGGGATCTTTCTTGGGAGCTTCAATGATGTATGGTGCTTTCCATTTCCATCTGTGCAAAAAAACACGTGTGGTTTAAGCTGCTAATTAAAATGTCTACCATGAGGGATGCACATGTTCCCTTTGCCAGGATATTCCCAAAGCTTTCCTATCCCCGCGAATGCCATTCCTTCTGAGGCGATTACAAAGCTCTCGCTGCTCGGAAAGGGATACTTTGTCTTTTTTCTAAGGGTAGTCCCGTCATGTTCTTTAAATGTTGCAAAAGTGGCGAAACCTCAGGAGGGGCCGAGATGGCTCAGAACTTTTGAATAAAGCATTGTGCTCGGCATTCTTTATGAGGGAATGACAGGGTACGCTCGTCTCAAAGTGGAACAGCTACACCAGTGCCAGCGAAAGCTTCTGACACAAGCATGTCACGGGCATTATTTTTTTAAGTGATCCAGACATCCGTTTCATCTGGGAGCCTTGTGATGGCTTCTGTTGAGCTCCACGACCCAGATTGGATCAAGAGGGTTTTGTTGTTTTGTTTTTGTATGTTTTGGCAGTGGGGGGACCAGATTATATCTGTCAAGATTCAAAAGGAAGCAGCTTGGTGGTTTTTTGTAGTGCTCAGCTGATGGTGACCCAGTGGGGTTTGGCTCCATCTGTGGCAGGCTGACCCACTTTAGCCCACGGCCACGTCCAACTGCTTCGTGTCCTGAGCATATGTGTGGTGGCAGGGGAATAAGCGATCATCGTGGCACGGGACAGGGAAACACACGCTGCTGCTATGACACTTCAGCAGGCTTCCAGCCGCTGTCTTTTCTGGAGCATATGTTGGTGATGCTGGTCCCTTGGACCTCGCGCAATGGAGGATCTGGAGCAGAACCCACCTCCTCCCTGTGTTCTGGAGCTTTCCTTTGAGGGACATGGGCGGGTATGCTGTGGAAAAGATGTGCATATGAAAGTTTGTCTTATATCTGTCGGTCATGAAGGTGCACTACTGCACATTATAGTGCACAATCACTGTTAATTTGCTGAATTTAACATATTGGAAAGATATAAAATATACAGTGTGGCCTGTGCAAAAGTTAAGGCACATTTTAGAGTTTATTTTTTTGTAATATGTTAAACTCAGCAAGTAAATAGAAACTGTGAATTAAATGAAAAATGCCATGTTTAGGTTTCTTCCTTGTACATGTAAGTGAAAGGGAGATTGAAACTGGTGAGGAGACCTTTTCAGAAGTGAACATGAGATTTATACTTGTTTCAGCCTTAATTTTTATAAAACCTCAAAACATTTAGCTGAAAAACTTCTCAGTGCCTAGAATGGCTTAAATCCTGAATCCTCAGGGTTCTGCATGTGGCTCTTCACAACTTACACATTCATCTGGTAATAGTTATTTATTTATTCATAGCAGTTACTGAATCTTACATTTTAAGATTAAGGGAAATTCCACTCATCTAAATTTCTGCTTTTTCAGTGGTTCAGATGTAAACAAAATCATTCAAAGTGGTTTGATGTGCAATGGTTCAGTTTACAGAAAAACAGACTCAGATTTCTTTACAGTGGTGGTGATAGGAACCAGGTGTCACAATGTCTACAACACAAATTTAGCCATTTCATTTACTACCCAAAAGCCCCAGTGAACCTACATGTGTCTTCTGAGTTTCATATGTGATGTTGATGATGATAAAATAGGGGTAAGTATGGAAAACAAAAATTTCTTTGGAGACTATTTGGCCGTACAATGCCCTGCGTGTATCACGCCACCATGAGTGGATTTTAAAAGTATGTTTTAGGCCAAAATCTCATCTTGAAACTATCGTAAAACAGTGTCTCAGGCATCAGTAAAACTATATTTTAGGCCAAAATGTTCTCAAAACTATTATGACACAATGTCTCAGGCACTAGGCAACGTTTTAACAACCACTAGCTTCCTGTGATGGAGCTTTTAGGGGCATTAAACACTTCAGATGTCTGGTTCCTATCACCACCACTGTGAAGTTTCTAGAACAGAGTGTTTCACATCAAATGACTTTTACACCTTTTTTATGTGATCATGCAGAAATTTTGAAAAATTGGTGGAATTCCCCTGTCATAATTGAATAACATGCCTTTTCTAGTTTACATAAAAATGTTTCCCTCCAAAAAGTAAAAGTCCTGGCCCCTGTTCTCCAGCAGAGTCGGCTAACTACCCCGTCCTGTCTGCCGTTGGGCTAGAATATTGCCCTCTACTCAGGGCGCCTGTGCTGGAAGCTGGCCAGACTGTGGCACAGGCGGGCAGCCATGTGGAGGGTATCAGTGCACAGAGCTGGTGCCCGTGGGGACCGGAGTGCGTGAGAGACACATGCGGCTCCATGCTGGTGTTCAGCTGATGCAGTCTGGCCTCGAATCACTCATGAATCACGGTTAGCAGGTGTGATTAGAAAATCTCCCAGGATTTCAGCAGAGGCAGCGGCGTGATTTATTCGATAAGGGAATCCGATATGACGTGTTAATCATACGGAGTGATTGGTGGAGGAGTGCTGCATGAGTGGAGAGGAGAAAAGAGGACGGACAGTCAGCGCAGCCTCATGATTGCAAATTAGTAGAGATTAACTCTTTGAAGTCCGTAACAAAATGTACCTGTGAAATTACAGTAATGTACTGACAGCAGTTTCTCCAGTATAGTGCTGTTTATTTACAGTACTGTTACAGTACAGTTACAGCACGTTGTGTACTGTTTTTACAGCAAGGTGTAGTTTATATATGGCACTGTTGTACCGTACCGCAATGCCTATTACTAGGAATAATACTGTAATAGGGTATTACAGGGAAGTATTTCATAATGTTGAATTTTAACTATTTAAATTGAACAGTATGTTCATGTTATTACAACCACATTTCCAAAAAGTTGGGACGCTGTGCAAAATGTAAATAAAAACAAAATGCAATTAATCATTTAAACC